GGGATGGGCACCAGCGCTGCCATGAAGAAAGCGATCATGTTGCTGACAGAGGTGAGAGCCACACTGGTACCTGTGCGTTTCAGGCACTCACCCGTCCGCTCCTGTGGGGACAGAGGGAGGAGGTGATGAGAGGGGCCATGGGAAAAGCGGGAGGGATTCCAGGCAGACAGTGGGCAGGGCTCAGTGCTCACCTTGAAGGGAACGTGCTGGCTGGTCTCAGTGAAGGCATGAGCCAAGAGGAACATGTAAATGCCAAGGGCCAAGAAGGGCAGGACCTGCCAGTGAACAGCTGGCATCAGTGGAGAGACACGGCCACTGCTTGGGTGCGGACCCAGTCACCCTGCAGTCCCCAAGGTCCCACCAGCCTTGCAGTACCCAGTTCTTCCCCCAGCACGTACCTGGGTGGTGGCCGCGTTGAAGGAGATGCCCAGCAGTGAGCAAAGCCCCAGGCCAGAGGCCACGGAGAGAGCCACAAGCAGGACTCCGGCCAGGCCCACGGCCCCCTGGGACTTGGAGCAGTCCCACCGCAGCATGGTGACACAGGCGTAGGCCAGCTGGAAGAGCATGGTGGGTTAGTGGGGATGGGAAGGGCTAAGGGAGGGATGGTGGGGGTCAGAGAGCGGGGGGACACTCACCATGAGGAGATAGCCCCCGGCCACCCGGATCACGCTGACATCAGAGAAGGACTTCATGATGTCGTTGAGTGTAGTGGTGGAGAAAGCATGGACGTTCTGCGTGGCATTGGGTGGGATGGAGTCCTGTGCCAGCTGCCGGAGGCACACTCCGTTAGAAGAGTCAGGACCCCCCACTGCCCAGTACATCCCCTCCCTGAGCCACCCAGGGTGTCGGCATCACGACTGAGCGTCCCTAGCAACACACCAGACCAAAAAGAGCAATGCCAGGACCCATGGCCACATGGAAACATAGGCACAGGGTGATGTCATGCAAAGGCTCACCCCTGCCTAACCTCACATGGGGGCTGTTCTCAGTGCCCACCTCCACGAATTTCCTCTGCCAGGCCTCCAGGATGGTGCTCGCCTTCTCTTCACTCCAGCTGATGTCATGGATCTCGTAGTCATCCTTGAAGTGCTCAAAGAGCTGCCGGGGGCTCATGAGGAGGAACATGGTCTGCAGGGCCTCGGCGCTGGGGGACAGGCACACACCTCGCTGGGACCAGCTGGGATGCAGGAATGGGTCCATCCCCCACCCCATGGCTCCCAGCCCCACCACAGACACCCAGGAGATTACCCAGGCACTCTGCCCCCCATTCCACCCCTGCTCCAAAGCACTGCCCTGATTGACAGCCCCACACACTCGCCAGCCTCACATGCTCTCCTGGACAGCCCTGCAGCCCCTCCTGCAGACAGAGCAGGTCCCTGTGGGTGCTGGATGAGGATGAGGATGAGGATAAGGATGAGGATGAGGGTAAGGGTGAGGAAATCCTGCCCCAAACCGCCCTGAGACTGGTTACTGTGGCTGTATCCCTGGGGACATCTGCACTGCAGAGGTTCTCACCGTAGCAGCTTGCCCTGGGAGTCTTTGGTTGTGCCGCCTAAAATCAGCTCCTGCTGCCAGCGCATGAACTTCCTGGAGAAACCATGGCAGCCTCCCGAGAGCTCGGCTGGGATGTCGGGGCTCTGCAAGCAGAGGGAAGGTGTCAGGGATTCAGGGCTGTGGGACAGGCAGGAAAGCAGCAAG